ACATTGCCCGCATGCATCGGGCCGCCTTGGTTCTGTTGCATATTTGGTGGCATGCCCTGCATGCCTTGTGGCCCTGCATTTGGTCCCATCGGACCGCCTGCATTCATGCGTGCGTTCATCATTTGGTTGAGCTGTTGGTGATTCATGCCCATTTGCTAAAAAAAAAGAATTCTGTATCATGAAACTTTCGTATATTATTAAAATTATATACACTTCTTACCGCCATCTGTTGTTGTCCCATTTGTTGCATTTGTACGTTCATAGCGTTCACATTCATAGGTCCACCTTGCATTTGGCCGGAACCCATTTGCATTTGTTGCGCCGCGCTTCCGGGACCACCTGGTCCGCCGGGTCCACCACCGCCCATTTGATTCATCTGGCCGGACATTCCACCCATTTGCTGAGCATTGCCAACCATATGCGGCTGCTGTCCACCTGCATTACCTATACCACCACCACCACCAATAACATTCATTTGCATACCACCACCACCACCCATATTTCCACTCATTTGTTGCATCATCTGTTGATTGGGACCAGCACCCATGGGCATTTGACCACGTATACCCTGCATTTGTTGCATCTGTTGACCTGGTCGCTGCTGACTTAGTGTTTGTAATAAATTTGTCGCAGCAGCAGGACCTCCAGGGCCCATTTGATTTGGATTGGGACCACCAGCCATTTGGGCATTACGATTACCTTGGCTAGCAAGTGTTTGGAGCGCGTTTAAGGGGTCTGGCATCATACCTTGCTGGTTCATTTCGGTATTTTGTTGCGGCGGCGGTTGTGTAGGCTTTCCTGCGTAGCCAATAATTTTAGAAATGAATAAATTAGGCAAAAATCACAATACACTCCGTCATGTGTACGTGTACATTCATGTGTGTATATGTGTAAGATAATTCAATGCAAATACTCACTTTGCGCCAAATCTTGAAAATGCATAAAAAGCTTCGCCACCAAACCCATGTATTCCTCCTTGCTGCGTGACTTCTTGAAAATATGATTTTCCATAACACCAGCATTTTTGGTAGGATCCGTCGTTTGCAGTGCCTGATTTCTAAAACGATTATCACAGTAGAAAAATTTTATATACACAATTTTCACGAAAAACAATTTACATCTTTGCAATCATGCTCTGGCGAAATTTTTGAGACGGCCATTCTTCTGCCATTGCAATATATTTAAATTAATAAAGCGGATTTTTTTTTCTATAAACTTTCACAATAGATGAACAAAAGTTGCTGTGACAATCGAATGTGTATTTTCAAAGGAACAAGTAATAATGGAACACAGCTGTCTTATCGATGGTTTGTTGTTTTTAGAAATTCTCTAACACCGGTTCTTTATTTATATTTAAATAAAATACTATACAAATAATAAAAAAAAATCACGAAAAGATATTTTAATTCTTTATTTTACACAATTAATTTGTGAAAAGAATTTTTTGTTTACCACGAACAGTGGCCCTTTACGTTATCTATGTCTTTACGAATGAATTGCTTAAACCAAAAGCAAAATATTTATATGTAAACAAAGAAAGATGGCGGCTGTCAAAATACAACAGTGCACTGATGTGTTGAATACAATGTTCGCGACAGACTGCAAACGACATCTGTCAAATATTAAAATACACACGTTCTTATGGACGGACCTATTTTGACAGCTGCACGACTACACGACTGCAGGCCGACAGTTGTCGTTCTCGCTAACTTCATGTGAGGAACACAATGCTCGCGACAGACTGCAGCAGCACGACAGTGAACTGAAAATGGCGTTGTGAATCCTTCTACATGGACGTTTGTGAGAGATCAGCAACATAACAATGGTCGGCATGTACACAAAACAACGTAGTTGTCCATTTTGCTTGTACACAATTTCGTTGTGGCCATATTAATTGCAACTCAATGAAATTTTAATATTTTGTTTAAAGTGAAATTTTTTATGCAAAAAATAAGTAAATAGGTGATTTTATTTATTTTAAATTAACAATTGTTACTACAAATGTTATAATGCAGCTATTTTATGCTTTTATTCGTAAAGTAACGTCAGGTTTGTTAGAGCTTTGAATAATTTTATATTTTACATTTTAGTGGCATCACCACTCTTCCTCAACTCTCTACTGTCAACTCTACTATCGTTGGCAAATATAAAAATATATTGAAGTTAGCGAGAGCGACAACTGTCGGCCTGCAGGCTTGTAGTCGTGCAGCTGTCAAAATAACTGTGTCCTTAAGAACGTGTGTACTTTAATATTTGACAGCTGTCGTTTGTAGTGTGTCGCGCTGTGTTCAGCACTTTAGAAATGTATTTAGATACTTAGTGATGCCAGATTGCAAAAATTAAATAAAAAAAACTTGTATTTCAATTAAGCTATAGATAAAGTATCTATTTTCTTTTTTAAATCATAAATTCGATTAATCTATGAAAAAATATATTTACTATATACTAGTATACACATAATTTTATTGTATGAAGTAAAGTTAGCTACAGAAAACGAAATTAATTTTCATTTTTCTGAAAAATCGCTTGACGCGGAATAATAAGTTCTTATACAAATTGATGTTAGTATTATGAATTAATTATTTCATTTTGTATTAATTTCTTTTGTTTCAATTTGTTGTTAAAAAGTTGTCGATTTGGAATATCGCGTCAGCGTAAACATGCGCTGCTGAACGCTCTTTTTTTAGGTACGCCAATAACTAGAACTATGTGTGTTGCACGGTCCGGCAGCGCTTAAACAGTAATTCCTTAACAAAATTTTAGCCACTCGAACATTCTAGCAGTTACCAATTTCCTTGCCTAGCTGATTCTGTTATGTGCTGAATAGATGGAGCGACAGACTTCAAGCGACATCTGTCAAATATTAAAATACACACGTTCTTAATGCCCGGAATACATAAAGCGCAACAGACTGCAAGCGACATCTGTTGACGTCTGTTTGACAGTTGTCGCTTGCAACCCTTTTTGCAGAAGATATTTACGAAATAAGAGGAAGAAAGGAACTCAACATTACAAATAAAAAAAAATAGGGTAACGTCGCCCTAAATTTTATTGTAATTAAAATATAATAATGTTAACGCTCACAAAAAATTATTTCGAAATTATAAACTCAAAAACTCTCATATATACATATGTATATGTAACATGTACATAAGTATGAATAGACTAGAAGTACAAATTTAACTCTCATAAGATTTTACTGCAAAATGTCATAACCAAGGTCGGAGTAGATCATTATTAACACGCCATATAAATACCCAATAATTCCAGGCATCTATAATCTTTACTTAACATAATGAGGGGCCGTTACCTCAAGATGTAGGGAGCTCCGTTCTATTGCATTGTATTGTTTAAATTAATTTCCACATATTTCAAGAAAGCGCTTTGCTTTTTGGTGATTAATTACATTTCCATAAAATAAATTAGTGGTTGCTCTATCCTCAAAAATTTTTTTCTGATTTTTAATAATTCTTTATAAATCGTAATCACTTTTTACGATCTCGCAAAATCTTTCTACAGAGTATATTAGATTTGTTTAACTAACGGTTGTTTGCATCATCTAGAACTAAATATATAAACTATATATAAATATAGAATTATATAAAATTATTAAGGAGTTTGCTTCAAATTCGGTGTTTCCAGTGGAATCACGGCCACGGAATCGTTGAAATATAGCAGAAGTATTTTGGGAATTCTACTTTGTCACGAAATCATTCAGTGAAGGTCGTAAATTCATGGAAAACTTCCTAATGAGAGTCGTCATCCAACAGAGGTGGATAAGTTAAAGAAACAGTGCTTAAAAATCGATAAGCTGGTATCAGACAGAAGAATTCCAAATTCGCTAAAGGCACAAAAGGCCGTCCCAGCCGATACTTATAATAGGTGGTATGAAATCTTGGGGTAAAGGTTGCATGCTTGGCTCAGGGGCCTATTTTGAGGGCGATAACAAAAATATTTGTGTTGAAAAATGTGAAGATTTAGTCTTTTGACAGTTTTGGTCAGTCGGACTTAAAAATTTTAAAGCGTTTTCTCCACACTCTCATTTTCAAAGTCAGCCTACCCATAACTTCAACCTGTACCGATCGTTTTGAAATTGTAAACACTATTTTTTATTAATAATTTAAGATTTAACGATACGACATGGAACTACCGCTACATGGTTAAAAAAGTTTATTTTACTACTATTTTCCACATTGGCAACTCTATGACGATATCAGAGAGAAATGACAGCACTAACAACACGCCATGGCACTCTTTGAGCGCCATTTTTACTATTTCCCTTTTAACTTAACGGTATACCGGATGTATTTGTGTGTGAGTTGATTGCATAGAGCACAATTCACTCTTTCATTTAATTTTAGGCATTTTCTTTTACACACATTTAGTAAAGTATAGTTTTTAGGTGGTGATTGATGAACGTTTTACGCCGCTCCACACTCATTAAATGCTTAACAGTGCGCTAACGTTTAACGTGCATGTTGTTGTTGCTACTGCTACCTGTGTTAACGAGCGCTCCACGACGCGACAACGGCTATTGCAATTTTCGTTGTCGTTGCCGCTGCCGCTGCCAGCTTGTTGGATGATAGCAGCACAATTGTCACGACATTCGCTCCTCGTTCGTTTGCCGTGGCGCATCAGCAGCAAAAACGTTCGTTCGCTCGTTGTTCATTCGTTTATTTCGATTGGTTTGCTTATTATTTTACTTGCGCTGGTATTGTACCGTATAATTTGCTGACGTTTGAAAATTCTGATGCGAGAAATATGTCGCAGTTAGAACTCCAAACAGAAAAGAAGTGAAATATTTGCAATTTAAGTTTCGGCAGCTTGCGAAATACACACACACACACATCTACATAACATATCCAAACAAATAAGCGCTCACCTTGAGGTGATGGCAGAAAAGTAGAAAAATCCGTGACAACGCGTGTAGATATTAGAAAAACTAAAACTAAAGTTAAAAAAAATAAAAAAAAAAATAACAAGAACTAAAATATAGGTGCGTGTAATTGTAATTGTAATTGCGCTCGGTTGTTATTTGTTGTTTGTGCGTTCGGTATGTGAGTGGAAATGGAAAATGATACAAATCGAATTGAGCAGGCGAAAAGGTAAAAGAGGCAAAAAAGCAAAGTGCAAAGTTTGCGAAAAACAATATTAAAATAGAATTTAAACATAAATATAAGCACAATAACGCATGCATAAAATGAAAACACCAAGTGGCTGTTTCACAACAACAACAGTCGGCGTCGCCGTAGATGCGCTGTTGTTCAACTGATTTTCAGTTGGATGGGAAGGGGTGCCGTGTTGGCGACCAGTGTAAAAAAGAGCTGTCGCACAAAGTGCAATGTTGAAAATTCAACTTAAGTTTCAAAATGAAATAACACCAACAATAGCAACAACCACAAACGTATAGCAATCAACCAACAATAGCTTTAACAACATAAGAATATTTAATATTTTCAATTGCCATCAACGCAATTGCATTTATGTAAAAAAAAAAAACAAGACAACAACAATATAACGGTGTGCCTACAGCAGCAACAATAGCAGGAGTACAAGAAACACTTTGTTTAGCGGTGATAGTAACAGCAACAACAATAACAACACTGGGGAACAAGCAGTATTTGGTCGAACACGTGGGGTGGTGGACGGGCGTTTTGGGGTGAAACCGCAACCAAATAGGTAAGTAACAAATTGGGCAACAATTTCCCCCAACTACAACGGCTGTTCAGCATTGAGCAGTGCTGTTCGCTTGATTAGGCAGCCCCACGGCGTATAGCGCTTTCTGCCGACCAATAATAACAACAGCAGCGATAGCGGCAGTGGCGGCGGCAATACACATTTGCATACATACACATTTTTTTTCATGTGCAAATTGACAATATTCGTATCTATCGACCGCCAACAGCGTCGGCACTTTGGCGCTGCTATGCTTTGCCTTTGCCGTGCTTTACATACAATTACCTACATATGTATTTACCGAAAGTATATACATTTATCTACATACATACATATGTATGTAAATATGTAAATGAGAGGTTTCGGTGCTGCCGTGGCTTGTGGTAATTTATTGTCGCCGCCGTTACCAAACTATCTTTCTTTCATTTCTTGTTGTGTGTTTTTCGTTTTTCGTTTTTCGTTTTGCTGATTTCGCTTTTATTTTTTGTTTTCGTGCACGCTTTGCTCTTTTCACCGTTGCCATCTAAGTATTTATGTGCTGAGCGCTGGCATGCTATCAGCTTTACTATCGCAAAGTCACCGCTAACAAACAGTGTGGCAAAATACAATAAATATCGAAATGATTACTATGCGCCGAAAGTGCGTGCTCAAACAATATTTCTTTTAATGACAAATAGGTTAGAAAAAGAAAATTAAAATATTATTATGACCCAAGTATTTGCTAACATTGACCTTCATACTTTATCTTTAAGAATGTTCTTACCAAATATATTTGTATGTATGTAGGTGTGTACCAGAACAAAAGCAAGCGCAACTGCTTTCAATCGGTAAAATAACTATTTCAAAGACTTTTTACACCTCTTCGAAACAAAAAGAAGTGACATGCTTTAATTTAATGGCATGTAAACAAAGCGATAAACGAGTACATAACCGCTAATGTATTTCGCGTGTGTGTGTATTTCCACCTTGCTAGACTTTATTTTCTTAGAAGTTTTAACTCAGTGGGAATATCTGTACATACATACTTACATATTATACTATATATGCTAGAATATACATATACATATGTAGTTAAACAATAAAAATATTGTATAAATTATAAATAGAAATAGTATATATATGCAATTAAAAGGTATACATACATACATATGTACACCACATTTAAATTATTTATAATAATATTACTATGTTTACAACGAAGTTCACCTATAAACTATAGCGATTAGCTTAATGTGGTTCAATAAATATGGAGCTGAAGCTGCTTCCAATCGCTTGAATCATGAAAGATTTGTTGTTGCCGGCAGCGAAGATTGTTAAAAGTCAAGAAAAAAAGATAACTACGATTCCATCGAACCCTTGACAGGTGCATTGCTTATAAAAGGATATTTATCATGATTTTGATAGGTCAGTTTGTATACAGCTATAAACATATCGTCACCTGAAATGCAAAATAACGTATCATAAAAAATTCGAAATTGAGTATCTTATTGATTAGGATTCACTACTTCAAATTACATACATAATAGTAAGTTTGTCCAACATTTTCGGGTTCTGCGCTCATATATGAACCAGTTTTAACCGATATTAAAGCTTTTTTTTACTCTTGTTCCATTTTATGTCGTGTTTCATTCACGCCACTGTAAATTTTCGAAAATGTTGTTACGTTATTTTGCATTTTAGGTGACGATATGTACATATGTATGTATATGCTATATTGGTCCGATCTGAACAATTTGTTAGGAGATTGACCATTGGCTGTGGACAAATGTTGTAACAATACATATGTATGTATATCGTAAACTGTTCCATACAAGAACTTCATTGTGATCGTTCAATTCGTATGGCAGCTATATGCTATATTGTACTGATATCTTGGAGCGAAAAGAACATCTACAAAATTTCAGATCGATATTTTAAAAACGGAGAAAATAGTTCTCATATATGTATATGTATGGACTCAGCTCGCCCGCTGACCAGTATACACTTGTATAGGTATGCATTTTATTGCATCTCAAACGTTTATTTCTGGGTGTTCCGAAGGCACTGGTTTGGATGCATAAATGTATACATAAATATGTATACATGTGTGCATATACATACTTATGTTTATTTTTCTAAAGCATTATGTTTCGGCGCAAAGTCAACAGTATTGCAGGCCTAAGACCTCGGAAATAACAAAGTATTTTCCATATTTCAAGCATGTGTACATTTTGGTGTACATACATGTATGTATGTGTACACATACTTATGTATAAATATCTGCAATATGTTTATGCGTTTAGATGTGTGTCGTTAATGCATGTATCTACATACATACATACATATGTGTGGCTGCGGCATGGAAAAACAGTGCTTCTGTGATAAGAGTATAATGAAAGGTAAAAGTATACCTACAAATTGCGAAATGTTTACAAATATTTTTAAAGATTTAGTAACGGAAAGTGAGATATAGTCACAACAGGTTAATGTACAGAGTACATTGTAATTAACAAAATTAAAAATGTGAGCATATTTCATACCACTAGAAAATGCAACCATATTTTTAGAATTTTTTGAAAAATAATTTATTTTTGAATTAACTTTCTTTTAATTTACATAATTCTTGAATCAATAACTTTTTTCAAAATATTGTCAATTTTCGGGTTTCAGTTTGAACTACAACCTACTACTTTGTTACCGAACGGGATCGGACTATAGGGTGAAGGGTGTTATACATATGTATGTGTGTGATTGCAAGGAGGTGGTTAGAGTCATGCGGGTACTCGTTGCCTGCTGGATATACCTACATACATATGTATATTTGATCGATTGTGGATAAGTAGGAACTTAACCTGCTACAATATCCAGAGCGAAGCTGCACAATGATCATGCTTCATTCTCGCTGCAACTCGAGATCGTCGTCTGCAATGGGTGCTGGTTTGACAGCAAATACGCCATTCACTGAGAGGGAGTTGGTGAAGGTGTTCATGTTGAAGTTAATTGTGTCCGAAGTCTGGCGTATTATCTTATATCGTGGACGTTGTTGAGGAAGGATCTCTTGATACTCCTTGAGAGAAATACTTTTCCAGCGAGTCACTTTGTGAGTATAAGAAGATGAGTGATCCGAAACGTTGAGACCCATAACTTGAAAATGGTCGTGTGTAATTTTCTACTTAAGCTTTCTTACTTTTACTTACTCTAAGGCAACAATAGAAATTTTTTGTTTGCTGCAATTTCTCGCTCAGATCAAAGAAATTTCATTCCATTTAGTACGTAGATATACCCAAAACAAAATACTAAATAACAACATACATACATACATATATACTTAACACACTGAAGGCAAAGTTCTGTTTGCCTTTGTGTGAAAAACTTACTTTAATTAATTAGCGTTAATTATGTTAAAAAAATGTGATTGATATGTTAAAAGAATGACACCATTCCACCACTATTTGATTAAAAAACGGTTTGTCATGTCGCAGTAAAGCGCGTGCGTAAGCAGTTAGCAAGTATACAGTTTAGCATTTCCAGACTTGGTAGATATATAAGTGCCTGTACATATGTACATACTTACATATATACGTACATACATACATAAGTGCATATGTGCATATGTTGTATACCGTAATTTGTTTTGTTTTCTAATTTATACTTTGGTTTCCACCGTGCACGGCACAACAGAGCTTCAAGCGCTGACGTGCTGAAGTGGTGCAATGCGCGCTGGGTGTTTGATTGCCTACTCGCTGCACGCCGCAAACACCGTTCGATATGCGGCGCGGCGCATCGCGTTCGTGGCTACTGCGGCGCCGCCACACTGCTACGTGCTCCACATTTTCCCCTCCGTTGACTCGTGTTATAACATTTCCATGTTACTTAAACGCATCCTTTTGTCTTTTTTGTTGTTGCTTTTAATTTTTTTCTTTTCTCTTTGCTATTTGCTGTCTGTACTGCCATTATTGCTGTTTCTACCGTTGATTGTGGCGTGCATTGTTGCTACTATTAATGCTATTATTATTATTATTGTTTTTGTCGCTGTTCGTCAATTTCGTACTTTGACTGATTTGCTTGTTGTTTTGGCGTAATATGGTGATGCGCGTGCTTTGCGTTGTTTATTTTTGTTGTATTTTGTGCTTTAACTTTGTTTGTGCTGCCTCGTACGTGTGCAGTTGCTGCTTGTCATTGTCGCGTAAACGCCGCTGTCGCCTTCATTTCACAATTTTCATTTAAATTCTCTGATTTTTTCGTACTGCTTCGCATGTAAATTGTGTGCCTCTTTCGCCGTTACGTGGCGCGGTTGGTCGGTCGCTGCAGCGCCCGCTTTACACAACGCTCCCTCCACGAACGCGCTGTCACTCGAACGCCAGCAGCGCCCGGCAATCGTTTTAGCATTCGCTACGCGCTGCCAATTGCTATTGTTGTTGTGTGTTCGTGTGTTCATTGGTTTTTATAGGCTGCAGTTTTTGTGACATTGTGCACCGCACCGCTTTGCCCTAACCTCTACCCTTCACCTACGTACATATGCACATACCAGCTCATACATGCGATTGCATCAAACGCTCTGTCAGCCGTCAAGTCAAATGCTCACGCTTTGGCTCTGCATTTACAATTCAGAGGTTTCTGTTTGTTTTTTTTTTTTTTTGCTTTGGCGGCGTCGGAGTTTCGATTTGGCTTGGCTTTAGTAATGATTTTACGAGTGTGTTATGTTGTTCTTATTTTCTTATACGCTGTTCAAATTCCAGCTAATGCGTGTTATCAGCTCTGGCGTATATCGTAATTGTCTTTTAAATTGCTTCTGCTTTTTTCGTTGTTGTTGTGATAAGCTGTGAGAATCGGTTATACAACGATCATTTAATTTAAATTCATTTCCGCTGGTTTATGCCCCCTTGTCCACAAAAATTGTGTATGTAAATGAAAAGAACTCCCACTCCGTATGTACATATATAATATATGTACATATGAATATGTCCGCGTATGTACATACATACATGTAAATATGCACATACTTAAGTGTCTCTACTCGTGCT